CCTTCCTGTCTCCCCCCATCCCCCTTCCCAGACCGTGACAGTGAAGGAGGCTGACGTCCACCAGCAGAACCCCCCCAAGTTCGACAAGATGGAGGACATGGCCATGCTGACCTTCCTCCACGAGCCTGCTGTCCTCTACAACCTCAAGGAGCGCTACGCCGCCTGGATGATCTATGTGAGCCTTCCCACAAGCCTCTGGGGCAGGTCACCATAGGGCAGGGCCTTCCCCCCAGCCTATGGGGTGGAGCAAAGCTGGGGACCTTGCCCCAAAGCTCTTGGTGGGGGACCTGGAAGGAGGATGGACCCTTCTGGAGAAGTCTATGGGGCACCCAGAACATGGTGGGAATTCTCCAGAACCCCCTGGGGCCACGCCCATCCAAGATGTCCCATGCCTTGACCCCTTGGGGTCACCCCCACCCAAGATGTCCCTTCCCAGTGGGGTGGGACCTCCTGGCTCTGACCGGTCTACCCCTTCTCCAGACCTACTCGGGGCTCTTCTGTGTGACGGTCAACCCCTACAAGTGGTTGCCCGTCTACAACGCCGAAGTGGTGGCCGCCTACCGGGGCAAGAAGCGGAGCGAAGCTCCACCCCACATCTTCTCCGTCTCTGACAACGCCTACCAGAACATGCTGACAGGTGAGGGACCCCAAACAAGAAGACCTCACCCCCCAAAAATGACCTAGATCTGCTCCTCACCTGGGGAGCATGGAGAACCCCAAGCCCCCCAAACATCTCACTCAACATCATCCCACCTGACTCCTCTCTCTTCTCCTGGCAGACCGGGAGAACCAGTCCATCCTCATCACGTAAGTCCCTCCCACCTACCCCAACTGTGCCCCACAGCGGTGGGGTGGGATGGAGAAGCCGCCATGATGTTCTCCAACCCCTCCCCCTTTCCACCCACCTCCCCCACCTACCTCCAGCGGAGAATCCGGGGCGGGGAAGACGGTCAACACCAAGAGGGTCATCCAATACTTCGCCAGCATCGCCGCCATCGGTGACCGCAAGAAGGAGGTGGCCAATAGCAGCAAGGTGGGTGCTCAAGCCACGCCCCTGCCCCTCCCCCAGTGGCAAGCTTCCTCCAGCAGTGTCCACACCCAGCCCTCCCCCTCTAGGGCACCCTGGAGGACCAGATCATCCAGGCCAACCCCGCCTTGGAGGCCTTCGGCAACGCCAAGACCGTTCGCAATGACAACTCCTCCCGATTTGTGAGTGGGAAGGGTGGGGCCTCCGGGGTGGGGCTTCTGGGGCAGGGCCTCTGGGGCCACCCCCACCTCACGCCACTGCTTGGCCCAGGGGAAGTTCATCCGGATCCATTTCGGGGCCACTGGGAAGTTGGCGTCGGCTGATATCGAGACCTGTGAGTGGATTGAGGGAGCCATGGGAGGATGGCCTGGGCTCTGCCCATCCATCCATCCCTCCGTCTCCTCCCACCTCCCACTTCTCCCCCATCCAACCACCCATTCATCCCACCATCAATCCGATCCTCTCCTGTTCTTGGTGTCTCCATCTCCTGGTGTCTCCATCTCCTCATCCATCCAACCACCTTCAATGCCACCATCGATCCGATCCTCTCCTGCTCTTGGTGTCTCCACTTCCTTGTGTCTCCAGTTCCATCTCTTGGTATCTCCAGCTCCATCTCTATCTCCTCATGTCTCCCACTCTTGGTGTCTCCACCTCCTCACATCTCCACCTAGCCGCCCCCTCCTCCTCCATCTCCTCATCCCACCACCCTTCTCTCCCTGCCTCCACCCACCACCTCCTCATCCCAACCTCCCACCCACTTTCTCCCTGCCCTCCCAGACCTCCTGGAGAAGTCCCGTGTCATCTTCCAGCTGAAGGCTGAGAGGAACTACCACATCTTCTACCAGATCCTCTCCAACAAGAAGCCGGAGCTGCTGGGTGAGTTGGCCACCGCCTTGGGGCTTCTCCTTCCACTCACCCTCTCGGTTTGGGGGCAATCAAAGAGAATTTGGGGCCCTTTGGCCACCAGAAATACTCAGTTTTTACCTGTCCATCCTTGGCCAACCCCGGAGCAGAGATGCTTCTCGTCACCAACAACCCCTATGACTACAGTTACGTCTCCCAAGGAGAGGTGACCGTGGCCTCCATCGACGACTCAGAAGAGCTGTTGGCAACCGACGTAAGTGGTGGGGGTGGGCAGGTGGACATGCCATGGCTGAGGAGAGGGTGAGGTGATGGGTGGGGGGGTTAAGATGGGAGGAGCTGGGAGGAGCTGCAGGGGGAGGAGATGAAGGCAGGGAGGAGAGGGGGTGAGTGGGAAGGTTGGAGGGGTTGAGGGTGGAGGTGGAGATGGACAGGCGAGTCCTGGGTGGAGGCAGATGAGGGTGTGTGTGGAAGAGTCCTCAAATGGCTGGATGGTGGGATGGGTGGGTGAGTCCTCAGCTGGATGGATGGATGGCTCCTCAACTGGATGGATGGGTGGGCCCTCAACTGGATGGTTGGATGGGTCCTCAACTGGATGGATGAGCCCTCAACTGGACGGATGAGTCCGTGGATGGATGGTTGGGTCCTCAACTGGATGGGTGGATGGGTCCTCAACTGGATGGGTGGGTCCTCAACCAGACGGATGGTGACCTCAGGAAGGGCAGGGGGGGGCACACAGATGGTGGCCAGAAGACAGACACACACTCTGCTCAGTGGTGGGGCGGGGGGGAGGAGCAAGGCCCTCTCCGACCCCTGCCCCCACCCCCTTCCTCCAGAGCGCTTTTGACGTCCTGGCAGCGGGCTCCCTCCACACCAAGGCGGGAGCTGACCGCATGGCATCTTCTCGGTGCTCTGCAGATGCCGACAAGTCAGCTTACCTGATGGGACTGAACTCAGCCGATCTTCTCAAGGGGTTGTGCCACCCCCGGGTGAAGGTGGGCAATGAGTACGTCACCAAGGGGCAGAACGTCCAGCAGGTCTACTACTCCAGCGGGGCCTTGGCCAAGGCTGTCTATGAGAAGATGTTCAACTGGATGGTGGGGAGGATCAACAACTCACTGGAGACTAAGCAGCCACGGCAGTACTTCATCGGAGTCTTGGACATCGCCGGCTTCGAGATCTTCGATGTGAGGCCTGAGGAGGGACCGGCAAGGGGTTTGGAGTTGGGCCTCTTGGGTGTTGGGTGGGCCCAGTTTGAGGTTGAGTTGATCTCCTTAAGCTTTGTGTTGACCTTTGGGGGGAACTTGGCCTCTTTGGGCACTGTGTTGACCACATTGGGTGCTCAGTTGACTCCACTGGGTGTTGAGTTGACTCTGTCGATCCCATTGGGCATTGTGTTGACCCCATTGGGTGTTTGGTTGATCCCCTTGGGTCTCAGGTTGACCCTGTTGATCCCATTGGACGTCATGTTGACCCTGTTGGATGCTCAGTTGACCCTGTTGGGTCTCAGGTTGACCCCGTTGGGCATTGCATTGACCCCATTTGGTGTTGAGTTGACCTCGTTGATCCCATTGGGCAGTTGGTCAACCCCGTTGGCCATCTCCCCCCTCTCCTTTCCCCAGTTCAACAGCTTTGAGCAGCTCTGCATCAACTTCACCAATGAGAAGCTGCAGCAGTTCTTCAACCACCACATGTTCGTGCTGGAGCAGGAGGAGTACAAGAAGGAAGGGATTGAGTGGGAGTTCATCGACTTTGGAATGGACCTCCAGGCCTGCATTGACCTCATTGAGAAGGTACATTTCCCCCGGGGCCTGCTGGGGGCTGTGGGAGCTCCTGGAGAAGCCTTCCAGCAGAGCTTGCCAGGGACCCCAAAGGCAGCCAGTTGGGTCGTGCTGGGCATCCTCCCCGGCCAACGCAGTCTTCTCTTCCCCAGCCCATGGGGATCATGTCCATCCTGGAGGAGGAGTGCATGTTCCCCAAGGCCTCGGACATGACCTTCAAGGCCAAGCTCTATGACAACCACCTGGGCAAGTCATCCAACTTTGGGAAGCCACGCAACATCAAGGGGAAGACAGAGGCCCACTTCTCCCTCATCCACTACGCCGGCACGGGCTGGGGCGGATGCGGGTGGGGGTGGAGGGAGGGACAGAGGGAGAAGACACTTGCCTGCTGGCATTGCCTCCTTTTTCACCTCACCCCACCCCTCTTTGGCCCAGGCGGTGATGGAGGGAAGGGGAAAGGAGCCAAGAAGAAAGGTTCCTCCTTCCAGACCGTCTCAGCCCTGCACCGGGTGAGGGACCTACCCAGCCAACCTGCTGTGGGGCAGAGGGAGGACAACCCCACCTTACCCCCGGCCCAGAGAGGGGTCACCCCACTGCCCCCCCCTTCCTCCTCCCCATTGAGCAGCTTCTTTTCTTCTCCCTCCTCGCC